CTTTGACGCATTTCAGCAGAATTTAATTAAACAAAAACTGGTAAACTCATTGGTAGGTTAGCATTAATACAATTAATTACTTTCAAGGTGGTGAAAATAATGAGAAACCAAACAGGTTTTGTACTGGTTCTGTGTGGCTCCCTGAAAACTCGACAGTTTGGAAAGCAAAGAAAATGCTTAGTCACATTCACACAACAGGATACGGAAGGAGGACACAGAATTTAAAATTCACCTCTCCAGTAAAACACTGAATTGTGTTAACTTCCTTAAAATAAACCCTTGAGAGGAAAGTAATAATGACAAAAGCATACAAGCAGCATATGAAGGACTGGGATTTTCCAATCACTTTCTCTCATGCAAGATCTTTTCCACTTATCAATACAGTAAGTCTTCCCAGGATCATGTCCTCCTTTCCAGGGACCCTGCCTTTCCCAGAGCTGTGTAGGCATGAACCTTTATACCCAGTGAGGCAGAGAAATACAGTCCCCACTGAAAGCTCCAACATCTGTCCTATGAGGGACAGAGACTAGGTAAGTATGGGAAAAGAACAAAGTTTTCTCTGTAAAGGAACCTGATTTTCTCTCTTGTGGGTGTGTTCAAGAAAAAACAAAATTCCCTGGAAGCATGCAACTTTTCAAGTGAGCTTTCTGTGGTGAAGACAATAGGGTCCCCTAGCACTCTTTCATTATGGTGAAGAACAGGGGGAAAGAGAGAGGCTCAACATAACACAAGGAACTTCAACTAACTTCAGGTCTGCTACTCAGCAACACAGGCCATGAGGATACTGCAAGCAAAATAACACAGGAGAAACTCCATGACAGGATACCACTCCTACTGTCAAGTTGCCTCCTTATCCTAACTTCTACAATCGTAGGCACCACTTATGAACTTCAAGTTGATGGACTACATCCTAAATGGGGCCAGAAGCAGCACAGAACAATCACTGATATTACTCTGGTGCTGCCCTCTGACTGATCCATTAATCTTAGAGCAGAGGCAACACTCAACAGTATTGAAAAACAACACGTTTCAAAGGAAAATCCTTCCTGTATATAATCAAATTCTGAAATCCACTAATATGATATATTAGTAAACTATTTAGTTAAGCAAAATTATAAAGAAGACTTGATATTGAAATAGCATTCATAGTTGTATTTGCCAGATTAGAGTCACAAGGACACTAATTCTCATCCCTAAAACCAGAAGCTGATTGCCAGCTGGGATTAATAAAGAATTCCCTCTCTTTCCTTTGTCTCACAGGCTACTAAAGTACAACCTGTAAGTGCTGATTATCTTCCTATAAAACTTTATAAGAAAGAATAATTAAATTTATTATCATAGAAGAAACAAAATTGGCTGGGTTAATGATCTTCCCTTACAATATGACAACTTTTCTGAATAGTCTAATACTTAAAAAAAAGGATAAAATAATCATAGGCGCTTTTATTTGCTCTTCTTTTCCCGCCTCTCACCCTCACCTACAACAGTTCAAAAGGTAAAAGCCATGTCTTCATTTTCACAGATTCTTTACTGTGTCAGCTACCGATAGTTTGGATACATTTTTCTGGCAGAAACATTGCAAAAATCTATTCTAGGTCTATGACTTCCACTGTCAGGATCATCATCAAAGTGGTTAGAAGGCTCAAAGGAGAAAAATAAATCACTAAGTATTGGTATTATGCAAGATCCCTGAAGAGGTATTGGCTGCATTTATTGCAAAGAATTAAGAAGTAGCTTTAATGTCAACTCAGTTCGTTAATATCCTCTCTTTGCAACTGATCTCACATAATAAACCCTGATACAGAAACTAGCATGCACTTTGACTAGATTAAGGACAAAATTATTGTGTACGTGTAAAGCTGTGGGTTATAAATGTGAAGTAATGCCAGCGAAATGCACACAAATCTCGGTGTGTCCAGGACACCAGGCAGAAGAAAGATGCACACAGTTTATGCTAGCATCACAGAGATAACTATGCTTTCTAAAGCCATTCTATAAAACCCATTAGACTGGCACTGTTAAATAGCAGATGTGTGTATGTATGTGACTTCTCCCGTGAAAGAAAGATTCATGAAGTTGCCTTGCCTCCAACTAGGCAGGGTGTGTAACTGTATGTTGCCTACACACTTGTAGAGCAGCTGGGACACCTGCCCCAGGAACGGCAGAAGGTATTTACATAGCAACCACCTTTTCCACTGCCCCTGCCTCCCACAGTGACACGGATTCTTCATGGCAGCTGCCACGGGAACAGCAGTAGCCGTCAATAGCTCTGCTCCCTCCACTGCTAACAGGCAGGAGCTGACAGCTGGGGCAAGCAAGGAGTTTTGCCCCAGAAGATCCTCTTAGGTTATCCCTAAGGTTCTGAAGCAGTTCAGGTGCAGAAATGAGCACTATCTGCCAAAGAGGGGGGAGACGAAGGATTTCTCCATCCCAGCTCTAACTCAGGTTTAAGTGGGAAAGAGGATCTGTCTGAAAACAATTGTCTTCTCCACAAAACAAGTAGCAGGCAGGGCTCTTTTGTCATATAGCAAAAGAAAAACAGTCAGCAACACAAAAATATGTCATCTTCTTTCATATCTAAATTAATCAATATTAGCTTTGCTTACTTTACAAGCAAATGTTTAAACCTAAAGTGAAGCAAAAATGTCAAGCATTCTGAAATCTGTTTCCAAAAAACAGCTTCCTGTAACCACTTCTGATTTTAAGTTGCTAAAACCAATACAGTTGACCAGTGCCAGCAGAGTATCAGACAACTCAGTTGCCCAGGACCTGACCAGAAGCCAGGCAGGAGCCTGAGCCATCTCCTCAAGGCTCACTCCCAGCCTACCACAAACCTGGAAAAAAATCATGCATTTCTCAGTTGGCCTGCATAAAGCAGAAGAGTAGTCTTTCTGAGTTTTTTTCCATGAAGTTCTAAATGAAACAAAAATAGGGGAAGTTGCACCAAATTCTACCCATTCCTTTCCTCCAATTAGATATATACATCAGTAAGACACTGCTAACTACATAGTGTGCCAGTGTGCATATAGATTCCTATATGTATATGTATATATCTGTTTTATTTAATAATATTTTAATATTATTTTATATTCTAATTAATATCATAAGGTATTTAAAATTTTATTTTAAATTTAATATTATCTTATGAGGGTTTTTTATCTGGTTGTGAAACTAATGCACTGGGTCATTTTTTTTCCATGAAAGCTCAATATTTTAAGCTTACTTCAAGGAAAAATGTAGAAGATCACACATCTCTCCTTGACAAATGAGACCTGTCAGAAGCCAATGATCCCAGTTCACAGGACATATACTACACTTGACAATGTGAGCTCAACAACAACGAAGAAATACTTTTTAGAGACCACTATTTTACGACAAGGTCTAGATTGCAACCAGTCTGACTGTAATTTTCTTCCTGAGAGAAGATTCTGGGAGCATTCTGTGTGAAAATAATTTTAAGTTTCTTCTTTCCTCCAAACCCATCATTTTTCCATGGAAGCAAATATTCTAATTCTGTAACTTATGCAATAATAATTACACAAACTAAGTTGGTTATAAATTGTATATAATACATATGTTTTATGTGAGCACTTTATTTTTTCTTTTTTTTTTAAAGCTAAAACATGAAACACAAAATATACATAGCATTTGTTTTATGTACCAAAACACAGGAAGACATTATTCTCTGTCATAAAGATTTTATGTTCAAAGGTCTCAACTCTGCACAAACCCTAATAAAGCAAACACTCATTTTTACAGTTAACTCAGTAGGAACACTCACAGCACGTGTGAGTCTCTGCAGAAATAGCACTCGTAACTAAAACTGTAAACGTTACACAAAATTATATTCACCTGTAATTACACTACAATTTCTAATAACTTTTTTCCTAAATAACCTCTTTCAAATAAAACCTTGATCAACCACCCCCAAGATTCTTTGCAGAATCCACATCCCAACATTATTCCTTAACGCCATGTGGGAACAGCTATGGAATTACTGTGGAAGTGTGCACACCAGCACATAACACCACCATTTGAGAGGGACTACACATATTACCACCAGTAATTTAGTCATGGTTCAAAAGTCAGCCCCAAACTCATTAATTAATTTCTTTGTATTCACTAGAGAGGCTTTTGAGAGGGAACCAAAGGGTGACTACAGAATGGCTGTTGCTTTGCAATATGTCAAAGATGTTTTTGAATTTATTTTGTAGAGTTAAGTCTTTGCTGAACTTAAGCTATTAAACAGTAAAGCTATGTGACTGCATAGGTTTTTAAATGGGAAACCACTTCATTTCTAGGGAAACACTGTTCTTACTAATTTACAAACATTTACAGCCTTCTATCTACATTATTTTAGAATTTTACTTGCAGTATATGTTACATTTTCTAGCCTATTCATTATTTTCTGTATTTTTGCAGGATGCCTTTCAATAAACTGCAGCATAGGAACAGAGAAAAATCCAGTGATGGTGCAGAGACTTAAGTAGCTCAATGAATTAATACTGAATTCATCACTCTCCTCAATTTGGAAGCTGTTAACACTACTGTATCCAGTACTCTCTTCTCCCTGTGCTGAGGTGCAAGCACTGGAGTGGTCACTACCTTACTGCTCCAACCCCGAGGCACTAACATAGCCAGTCTTGCCAGTGGAAGAGCAGGGAGATCAGTGGCAGCAGTTTCCACCTGACCAACACCCACAGCTTTCCTAGTTCCAGATGATACAAACAGTTTGAAGTCCATGGATATCTCTACTAGTGAAGAGTCATCTTCTGGGTACAATTTCAGCTTCTTTCAGTAGTCATATTTTAAAAGTGTAAGCCAAACCAAAAATCTGTAATACTCATCCCTGTAAGCTCATCCCTGTCCTGGGATAGAAGCAGAGAAGGCACAGAGAGCCCAAAAAACTCTGCTTCCACCTGAGTATACTGACATTCCTGTGAAAGAAGCCAGGTAATCTCAACCATTCAATCACAATTTTTTTCTTCTAAAATACTCACCTGACTTTCCCTTTGGTGTTTCTAAGAACAGTTGCAGCAAAATTTTGTGTAACACCAACCAGACTGATGCCATCAACTTCCACAATTTGGTCATTCACTTGGATCCTTTCAGGAAAAAAAAACACAAATTCATAAATACTTGTGTGAATCCCTGGCAAATTTTCAGCAAAACTGAGCATAAAGAGAATTTTTCCACTTAATTAAAAAAAAAGACTTTAAACAAAAACCCAGTCACAAAATGATTGAGGTAAATATGAAAAATGCAACATTCCTTGCACACAGACATCTCATAAATCCAGCATCAAAGTTACTATTAAAATTAATTGCATCAATCATCCAGTCCTTGTACATAAATACAGCAAGACAAACTCTTGTTGTCATAGGACTTAAATTAAATGAGGTACTTGAACAGTTCTTATATCATTCTTTCCTAAGCCAATCTTGAAAAACAGCATAAGGCATAGCTCTAGTATTTCACACTAATGAAAAAAAAAGTGATTTTTAACTAAAACAACCCACTCATCTGTGGAGAAAAGAGCTTGTGCATCAGACTTAATTGTGACCTACTCTCTTAAAATATTTCATCTAGCTTGCTCCAAAAAGATGAATTCTCAGTGTAAGTGTGATCTTGCTGCACACAATAATAAGGCCTTGGACTGTTCCAATGAGGACTTCCTCTTTGAAACCAAACACCTACTTACAGTCGAAACACTGTTTGATGCAGGAAATGTTAGGCGAAGTAAAAACCACGCTCCTTTTATCTGAAGCAAGTGCTGCTACAAAATTCCTACAGCAGGCATCTGGATTACAAATGGTTGGAAGGAGGGCTGCTATACTAAAATGTTCTCTAGAAATGCATGAACTCCTATAGTTTCAAAAATGAAAAAGAACAAAAATCATTATTCAGAACTAGTCAGAAGGAGCTAACATGGATGCTACTGATCCAAACAACACAGTTTACAAAGGAACCAAGAAACAGTTATGAAAAAATCCCATTTCAATTAAATGAAAATACCTAAATTAAGGTATTTAATATCCTAGGATACCTTAGTGATAAGACTTCTGAAAGAACAACAGAGGCTTCAAAAGAGGGTTGAAGCATTTTGACTTGGGGCACTAATTTCACTGTCAAGTCTGAGGCAATGCTTTGCAGCTCTACATGTGTTCAAGCAATATCTTTAGTTCTTCGGACTTCACTGATGAGTAAGAAATAGATTTATTCTCTGGCAGCCTTACACCACAGAATGTCACTGTGTTCAAGGCAGGATCTCCCTTTTGTATATAATAAACCTTGAAAAAATAATCTTTGAGACAGCCTATAAACTTCTATCTTGATAATCATACTAGGTATTTTAATCTTAGAATTTTATTTACATTTTCACTGACACATTTAATAAATACATCAAATGCATTAATATTTATTGTATTTTGATACTGTAAGAATATCAAACAACATACAATCAAAATAATTGTTATTCAAATTGTATAATTACATGTAATTAAAAAAGATGTTTCCAGTCTGTTGCCATGTACATTCTATACTGCCCAGACTAAAATACTCTCACAGCCACATTCTCCTGGCCTCCTTCCTCTTTCTGGGGCATCCCCTCTCCAGCCCCACTCCCACTGCACCTCTGTACCTGTACCCTAGCCCTAACCCCATAAAGAAGCCACCCCAGGCACCACTGACACCAAAATATTCTCACAGTCATGTTCTCTGGGCGAATTCCCTTTAGAGCCCCCTCCATTAGGAGCTCCGGGCTTCCTATGTCTCTCAAATATAATTTCTAACACGAATGAAAAATTGGGCCCAGGTTGGCAAAGCCTGAATTATAGAGGTTTAACTGCTTTTATCATTAATGAAATTGGTATTTCTTCTGACAGTTATTTTCTAATAGTCATGACCAATACTTTGCCTATGTGAAGCAGCGCTTCAATGAAGTAGCAACTACAGAAATGAACCAACTAAAACTGAACAAATTACTTGCATAATTGCTGTTCTGTATGATGAACTGAAAAATTTAACCTGTGCACAGACAACGTCTAGGTTATTTTTCAAGTTAAGAACTGTGTAATGTTTCAAAACTGTTGTTTTCAATGTTAGCAAAATACTTTAAAATGTGAATGACTCATCATCACAATAATTTGAAAGAAGCAGCTATGAATTCACCCAGGAAAAGATTTTATTTTTCATATTCAGTCTAATGATTAATTTCATATTTCACACACTATTAATAATCTCTCTAATTACTTATCAACATGCTCACCTGTGGATTCATCTCGAAGCACTCGCCTTGGTTAAATACTGCCAGACAATGCCTTTTGATATGACAACTGAACACTAACTGTTAGTTTGCATCAACAGGAATCAAGATAGTGGTGCTCAATCACTGAGAAACCCCTTTGTACAGATTTTGGGTTTCCATGGGAGGCAAGTACTTTATATCACGATTCGATGGGTCTTTCAATAAAAGATGAGAGTTATCCTAAAGATAATGTGATGTTTCTATTGTAGTTTCAGAAGAGTCCGCTTCAAGATTGCTATGTGATTATTCAGAACATCTGATGCAACTGCTGAAATATACTTCTATTTTTCTGTTAGGAGATTTTGTTTTGTTATCAATGTTAATAATTAACTAGGCTTTTTACAAAGACGAAGTTAACAGGACCCTTTACAGTTGATGAACTTTATTACAGAGCTGGCTGCTCCTGACTGAGAGGATTACATATCCCTTTCCCAAGTGAATGATCAGTCAGGCTCTCAAAGATAAAGTCAGAGGGCTATTTCTCAGCTGACTGAACATTCAGACAGTTCAAAACTAACACAAATATTAGAATGGTCAAAGAAATGTAATATTTTTTCTCAGCTGACAAGCTCCTTTCAGATGTCATCTAGGGAAATGAAAGAAGAGAGTTGTGACTGAACATTAACTTCTGTAGCCCACTCAAACATGTGAATAATGAGATGAACAGAAAATACAGATCATCATTGAGCAGTAGCAAGTGACACTGATTTTCAACCAGAGAATTTCACACAGAATGCCAGTTGTGAGCTTAACGCCTTCTAGCTGAGCTCAAGCATCCCTTTCAGAAAAATGTTCACTTAAATTTAAAGTAATAGATGAAGTCATGACATCTCAAAGTTTCAACTTCTGCACTTCCCTTCAGAATTTTCAAGCCTGTAATAAATCAGTACTTGGCCTTCAATCTGGTATCTTATTGCCAAGATCTGTAAAGATACCTGCAAGCCCCACCTAGAAGACTGTATACTTAAGTAGTTTCAGAGCAATGTTGTTAAACTTTGCAACCCTCTGCCTGGTAGAGCCTTCAATTTGTGTGGGGTTTCCACAGCAGAACAACATTTTGCCTGGCTGAAAAGTTATAGGTGTTCATCAGTAAGGAACATGTTATTGCAATACTTTTTAGAAGACAGTATCATCTTTTTAGAGTTGATTCTCACGCTATTTACCTGTTTGCTATTATTTATAACTTATATAACACATCAGTAATGGTTAAAAATAGAAGTAGAGAATGCATAAAAGTAGAATTAATTCCTATTGTATCAGATAAATAATATTTTATTTGCATTCAAATTTACAAGGGGTATGCACTGGGAAAA